CATTTTTTGGACATTACAGTAAAAAAAAAACTGGCTATAGATCGCCAAAAACTTAAGGTCTATCACCATACTAGAGACTATGTGGATTTACAGTACTTTTGCTACCTGCATGGACCCTAGCTGGATTTACATCACCCCTTCAGCTGTTGGCAATTTGGACAATTCTAGCCATTGATTTAAATGAACATATATTCTACGATTAAAAGTAAGGTGAAGTTGAGTATACTTTGAAAGACATGGCTGTTAATATGGCGTTTGCTTCAGCTGTGAAAATTGAGCTATTATCTGGTAATAGAGACGATATTGTTCTGGATCCAATGACAGTGGCACAAGCAATTGCGCTACCATCCTTGGATCCATCTGTAAATAAGGATTTGTATGTACATGTGTTATATTTACTTTTTAATTGATGATATTCTTGTTTATATTGTAATTCCTTAGTTTCTGATTATTTAAATGTCAGTGTGAGGTCAACTTGTGGCCCCACCAATTGCCAAGGAGGAGAAAAAAGCAAACAGGAAGGAGATATATTTTCCAGCTGAATGCCAGCAGCAGAAATGAAGCATTGGATTCTACTCCCAAAGGGTGGAACAAGTGCATATTTTAATTATACAAATGTTCATAAAGATGACTAAAAACACAGTTGTGAGGAGGATTGGATTCATTCGAATATAGTTTTGTTATAATTGTAAAGACAGTTTTGATTCGGCGAAGTTTTAAAGATGGCTCTTCGGCCTCCTCTCTTCGGAGAGACTGTTCGAAAGTCTCTCTCTCTCTCTCTCTCTCTTGTACAGTTTACATCTCTAATCTCTCTCTCTCTCTGTGATGTACATTTTAATAGGGTGAGATGTACATTTTCACAAGCATTGCCACAGTAACTGGAAGCAGAATGTTTCATGTTGAAACGATACAGATCATAATTTAGCTGACTAATCATATATCTCAACTTTGTGTGAATAATATTACATTTTCTAATACCAAACGAGTAATATGGTGGAGCTATAGGTTGCTAACACTTTAAATACGACTTGAAACTAGAATTTCCTGTGAGGTATATCTAGGAAGACCCGTAACTATTCTGGCAGCTTATAACTGAAGTTTCTCTGAGGTTTCCTTCTGTTGTATGGTACCACCATCCCATAATATCACAAGCATATTCAAAGTGTGGTCTGATAAATATCTTATAAATATTGTTGATTGTATTTCTGTTTAGTAAATATTTCAATTTTCGCATTGATTATATCATTTTGGAGCAAGACTTGATAATTTTATTAGTGTGACAAGACCATTTGCCATTAGCTTCAAATGTTATTCCGAGATGTTTATGATTGTTTACCAAATTGATTTGCTTTCCGTCAAAAAATAATTTCAATTCTTCAGTTTCATCAATTATGGAAAACAACACTGCTTCTGTTTTTTCAGGATTATATGAGACCACTGAGCCACCCACCCGCATTCCGGGAGTAAACCAGCCAGCTCTTAAAAACCTGGGCTTGGATATAGCTTCATTTACAAAGACGTGTTGACTGCGATCACTTCTGTAACTCGAAATCCATTGTAAAAGCTGGCCTCTAATACCGTACTTCTCTAATTTAAGTATAAGCCCTTTGTGCCACACATGATCAAAAGCTTTGGATACATCGCAAAATATCATACAATATTTCCTGTGCTGTCTAGAGATGTACAAATATGATGGTAAAGTTCAATTAATTGATGGACAGTTGAATGACCTGCTTGAAACCCCGAGTATTACTTATTTAAAAGTTTATTAACATGGAAATAGTTATAGAAGTTTATATACAACTCTTTCAAATAGTTTTCCTATGCAACTTATAAGAGAAATAGGTCTATAATTGGAAACAATAGAGTGATCACCTATCTTATACAGTGGCATGACATGTGCACTTTTCCACATAGTTGGATACACACTATGTTTTAATGATAAATTGAACAGTAAACAGAGGTGCTCAGATATAGAATGAACAGTGTTCTTTAATAATTTATGATTTATTCTATCCGGCCCTGAAGCTTTGTTTAGCTGCAAACATTTTATAACATCAGATACTTCCTTCTTGGAAATTACAATTTTCTAACTGCGTGTTGGTCCTTGAGGGAAAATGTGGTAACGGTACATCTTTATCATTCAATCGAGATATTGATTCGAAATATGTTTTTCAGCTTTTTCTAAATCAGAAAACAGCGTTGGGAATTCATCATCAATATTCTGCTTGAGAGGAGGAATATGCGAAGTAGAGCCCGAGTTTATAACAATATATCGTAATAATTTCCAATATGAATATTTATTTTCAGCATATAATTCCAAAAGTAGGCCATTAATATATAGCAGTTTTCTTTCGCATAACATTTCATGTTGTTTACTCTGTTTCTCTGATGTTTAGAAGCATTTTTATCGCTCTCTTTTTTGTTTTCTTCGCTTTTCTCCGTAATCAGTCTCTTTTTCTGGATTCTCTCCTCAAATTAGAGTCATACCATGGTTTGTCATTTGGACGAATAGATACTATCTTTGAAGGAATACATGATTTCACATGTTGAGTAAATTTGTTATAAAATAGTGAACACGCATCATTAAAATTTGAACATCCATCATATAAATCTTTCCATTCTGAATTTTCTATAAGATAATTGAGCATTTCATAATCACCCTTATTGTAACACCCGATTTCTCGCTTATAAGCTATGTTATTACATAACTGTGTACTTATGTTTACATACGTTCCTCTGTGATCACTTATATTGCTATCAAACTCAACAACACCACTGTCAACATCATCAATGTCTTCACTGACAATCACTGGATCAAGCAAAGTACTGGTTGTTTTGCTAACTCTAGTGGGTTCAAATAAAAAAAATCATAACCAAGAGTTCATTTACATTAAGTTTTCTAGCGGATAAAAGATTTTCATTTATATCACCAACAATGACAACCTTAGACGACATATCCAGAGCGATTTCAACGCTATTATCTAAGCGAGCCCAAAAGGCCAATGAATTATACTCTGGACGGTATATATTGCATAACAACAGCGAATTTTGCGGATAGTATATCATCATAGATGTTTTCAAGTTCTGGAATTCTCTTAAAGGGTAGGCTTTTATTAACATTAACTAGTAAACCACCCCCAAACATATTTCTGTCTTTGCGTACTGGCTCAGGAAAATTTTCCCAGATTAGCGCTTCAGTTTTAATACTGTCGTCTAAGTGCGTTTCCGTAAAACAAACAACATTATGATCTGATAAGAATTCACTCAAATAAGACAGCTTGTTGCGTATACTTCTAGTATTTAGATGGAAACTAGACAATGAATGGTCACAGACAGTGTTGTCATGGGTCAGTGGCCCTGGGTTGGGTTGCACGTCCCCAGCAATCAGTAATAACAATAGTAACACAAGGATTACGTCAACATTACCAGCTTGTGACTGGAGACAACAGACACTAAGAAACACAGTGCATGCTTTCCATTAGTTACAGAAATTCTCAAACATTAACCTTAATTCACGTCCAAAGAGAGTTACATTATTACATGAAAGACGCGCATGAAGGACGCTCTTAAATCCTACCTGTATTCTATAGTTTACACAATCCAAGTCGGCTCCACACGATATCACACGAGTTGCTCCCTCGTGCTGTTCTAGAATGTAAATCCGTCCATCGCGTGTCCATGAAGCCTTAATTTTTCGTCTTTTTGTCGTAACCGTGAGGATTTGGGTGTTAGTAAACCCTACGTAACCAGTTACCAGTTACCTTAAGATGGCCGTTCCGCATTGTCAGGGTGATGTAAGCTCAGGTTACATACTCGCTTGGTCCGTCCGGGGCTTCTACGTTTAGAAGTGAGAGGTCTGACGACCGAGACTCCTAACTACAACATTACATTCATGTACTGGCACTCTGGCATTACAAGGAATAACTCAACACTAGGTTCTATACTCACATAGGTTTACTCGATCTCTCTCGTCATTACAAGGTGACGTGGTCAGGACAGGATAGGGCAAGCTCTTCACCAGATATGGAACTGATCGATCGCGATGCGAACGTTCTGCTGACTTTGTAACCCGCACCACTTTCTAGTGCTGACGGTTTCTTTTTAAAGTGTTCGAGCCTGCTCCACCCTTGTCACATGACCAGATACAATCCCTCTGATTCGTTTAAAGTTACATCATTCCATGGTCTCATGTCGTACCTCGTGATCAGAGGATTACTGTAAACTAATCGGTGATTCACCGTTAATTGCTACTTTTAAGAGTCTTTTTGTTCTGTTATCTGTCATTTATTACCAATCAGTAACAGTTGATTCTATGACTAAATAATCGTATTTCCAATAATGGATTTGTGATATTAACGGATGCATTTTCGCCTTATAACAGCATCGTGTTTCTCCTAATGTTTCTGCGAGGTCCGGATGTCCGGGTGTAAATACCAGTTCGTCTGTATTTTCTCCAATAATGCCTGGATTGAATTTTGTGATAAGTAACGTTTTCTTGAATAACGGATGCATTTTCGCCTTTGAGCCTTGGAGAGGTTGCACAACAGATTTAAAATGCTCAGTTATAAGATCGGAAGCGATCTTCATAAATGCTTGCTGAAATTTCTCTTTTCTTCGATTTGTCTCAAACGTGGCATATATTTTGTGTTCTTTTCACAACTGTGTTACTCACGTGTTTTATACCGTCAGTATGCACGTGAATTTCACATAAGAAAAATCGTTTTGGATTTTTCCCGACGTTTACGTGATTCATTAACTTGTTTCACCGTGTGTTCCCGGAAAGGATGGGTCTGTACGTGTGTGAATTGGCTTAGTATGGTCTTATCACGTCATATTAATTTTGTGAATTGTTATGTAAAATTATGCCGTGTACAATTTCTTTTGAGCACTAGTTTAATTTCGTTCTCCTCCGTTTAGTACACATTTATATACAGACATTCGAGACTATTCATGTGAGGAGCAGAACGCTGCGGCTCTATATTTCATTTTATTTTCAGAATGACGCCACCATATCAAAGATAGACTTTACTGACAACGGACTAGGACCTTCCCAGACGTATTGGCTTGCTCAAATGCTACACAATAACACGACAATCACAGATATTGTGAGTAGATCGAATCAATTCAATCACCGTGTTGTCACTCCATCCTGTGTTCATCATAGTCATTGGTCGTGGTCGCCCAGCCTTCAAAGACCCCACCCGTGAAGGCCCGAGTTAGAATATTGATCTTCAGTAACCAATGCTTGTCGTCTGACGGGATCGGTCGGCCAGGCTCGCTGACTTGGTTGACACATGTCTTCGGTTCCCAATTGCGCAGATCGATGATCATTCTGTTGATCACTGGATTGTCTGGTCCAGACTCGATTATTTACAGTCCGCCGCCATATAGCTGGAATATTGCTGAGTGCGGCGTAAAGATCAACTCACTTACTTCAAAGGCCCCACAGTGTGTCTGTACTCTTCTTTGGAAGTGCAAGAAAGGTTTGTCGTCGTTTCGGCTCCCAGACTCCCCCCTTGTTTCACCCATTTCCAACACCCTGCCCGTGCCCTTGAATCCTGTCAAAATGGTAAGATCTGCATCAAAGTTTGTCTCTGTCCCGACAGAGATTAGCCCAGTCTGGTGTCACGCTCAGTGGCAAATCGTCTCACAGCAGCTAATGAGACAAAGGTGACTGCCCGGCTGAAGCAATTAATCAATGCCCCTTTAAGGCTATTCGCCACACAGAGGTAACTCGCTAGCCTGTCATTTTGACCCTTAATCAAATATACCCAATATAGCCCCAGCAAACCTAGAATATATGTCCAGGTTACCTTACCGAAAATGAAGAAAGTTCCTGGACTCATTTTTATTACATTGTAAGAATATAATTTAGGATCCGCATTTCTGTAAATGTTCATTTCAGAGACTAGATGTTCGTCTACTGACTCAAAAATATTACTCTGAGTGGCGTTAAACAGTTCTCACTCACTTATCACATGTTTGTTCCAGAATTTGTCTGAAAACAGTATCGGAAGCAATGGATCCCGTATTCTGCGTTTAGTGCTAAAGGGACAGTCGCGTTTACATTCCTTAAATCTCGCAGGTAAGTTAAATAGGTTACCTGTCACTTGAATGAATATTGTGTTTCACCACCGATGGACAGGTATTGGTCTAGGCCAACGTAGAACGAGTAAAGACCATCTATGTTGTGCTGACACTGGCGGAGTCCATGGTCGAGAGTACAGAGCGTTTACCTGAGTGCGCAATGTCGGCGGTGCAAACCCTTAAGAGATATTTTGGGGGATTATGCCGTTTTGCATTGTCGCCTAAAATCACTCACTCACTCCTACACAGAAGCAGAACTGTGACCAGCATTAAACTACGAAGGAAGTTCTCCAGGCCCTGATAGTAACCCAACGTTGTTTGTGATCAGCTGAGCGCAGCTCGCCTTGTGTACAGGAGGAGGATGCCCCTTCACCTGAAGCACGCCAAGAGGTGACCTTCGTTTAGTGTGGCATAATGCATACAGCGTAGCTGGATTACACTGGTTTCAACTACACACATGAAAATTAGTCAAGCACCTCCTGCGTTTTATATATGATACACACTAAATGTTCCATGTGTTTTGAAATTAACCCTTCGTAGTTTAATGCTGGTCACAGTTCTGCCTCTGTGTAGGAGTGAGTGAGTGAGTTAAGTTTTACGCTGCACTCAGCAATGTTCCAGCTATGTGACGGCGGTCTGTAAATAAACGAGTTTGGGCCAGACAATCCAGAGATCAACAGCATGAACATCGATCTACGCAATTGGTAGTCACATCTGGGTTATTATACGTTGTTAGAAGTCACTATTAGTGATATTTTTTTTAGCATCCTACTATAATTAGTATATTATTCCTGCGACAGGTAATGCGATCGGAGACAAAGGGGTCCGACTCATCGTTAGCGGTCTAGAGGTATGTATGGGTATGGAAGACAGGTGACAAAATATTTCCATAATCACGTGAAAACGCTGCTAAAAGCAAAATGAATGAAGGTATGAGCTTCAGTAATTGGAAATATAGTAAGTTTTTGTTAATAAAAGGTGTTCAAGAATGTGTTTCATACCTGTACTTGAAAATCTTAAGTATTTTTTTTGTTTTGTAATATATAAAGCGACAAAACTGTTTTCGTATTCAAAAGTAATATCTGTGGAAAGTAGTCGATACCGTAATTACGACTGTATCATTTGTTTAGACATTTTCTCTACATGTCATAACGATTTCAAAGTTTGAAGTAAATGAACGAGCGTCAGAATCCTCTTGTCATTCAACATCTATAATATATTCTCCTTGCTAAAATGTCGAATGAGTATCAGATTCATCTTGTAGATGAAAATATGTCTTCTTGATAAAATGTGTAAAAGAATAGGTTTCATTTTAATATTGTAATTTAAAATCCAAAGAATATTTTGTTGATAAAGTGTCTCAAACCTTGTGTTTACACTTGTAATTGAAATTCTAAAGCATAGTCTTGTTAGTAAAATATTCAAACAAATGAGTATCAGAATCATCTTGTACTTGAAAATATCCAGCATATTCTTGTGGACAAAATGTGAAAATATAAACGACACTGACCTTTTCATGTTCACCGCAAATAGCTACAGGTTTGATAGCACGATGAAGACAAAACCATATGTATGTGTTTATGAAATGACCATTTAGTAATGCCTTGCACGTGTTATAAATCTTTTTTAGGTTTGAAGGAAATGAATCAGTGTCAGACTCAGAGTCGTTGGTCATTGAAAATTGTGGAATTGGGAATCTAAAGTATATTATTAGGGATATACAGTGGAAAGGAATGAGTGTCAGAATCATTGTGGAATTGGGAATCTAAAGTATATTATTGTGGATATACAGTGGAAAGGAATGAGTGTCAGAATCATTGTGGAATTGGGAATCTAAAGTATGTTATTGTGGATATACAGTGGAAAGGACTGAGTGTCAGAATCATTGTGGAATTGGGAATCTAAAGTATATTATTGTGGATATACAGTGGAAAGGAATGAGTGTCAGAATCATTGTGTAATTGGGAATCTGACGTATGTTATTGTGGATATACAGTGGAAAGGAATGAGTGTCAGATTCATTGTGTAATTGGGAATCTAAAGTATATTCTTGTGGATATACAGTGGAAAGGAATGAGCTCAAGTGTCAGATTCATTGTGTAATTGGAAATCTACTATTTATTATTGTGGATACATAGCAGAAAGGAATAAGTGGAAAATTCATCGTTTAGAAATCTAAAACACATTCTTCTCGATAAAATGTGGACGTGAACGTACATCTCGTAGCCGAAATTCTAATGTAAGGACTGCGTAATATAATGTGTTAAAGAATGGTTATCAGAATCGTCTTGTAGCCAAAATCTGAGGCAAATGCTTGTTATGAGGAACAATTGTGGCTTTTACTCCGTGCTTACCGAGCCTGTCTGGTAGTATGTTTTTTGTGTTTTCTACCCGAACTGTCTTGTATCAGGAGTGCTTTAACGAGAGACGATCAGCAAATTGAATGCTGTGAGAGATATAGATATTTCATGTACAATCACCTGATATAAACTGAAAAATAAATACAAAAAGTGCAATATTTTTGCCAAGATTTTGATTTGTTAAAGAAAGATGCATGTCTTACTTGTATGGTGCGAATGTGATTGTTAATAACAGTACTGATAATGTACATCCTTGTCCATATATAGTCCTAATTGTGCGCATTTCCTTCCCACAGAGAAACGTGTTTTTGAAAGAATTAAACCTGTCACACAATGACGTCGGTGAAAGAGGATTGAAGTACTTGTGTCCTTTTATCGGTATGTAGCCTTCTGTACCAATGGATAGTGTTATCCATGAAACCAATGAAAAAATATGCCGTCACGATTCGATAAATGTACATATGAAATAACCAATTCTGAACTACTTTCATGTTTTGTACATTTGGTGCCAATACCTGGGTCTATGTATTCCTTTATAAAGATACCATAGTAAAAAGTTTCTTGGGCGGATAAAGACTTCGCTCGTCACGCCGAAGACCCTGGTTCGATTCCCCACATGGGTACAGTTTGTGAATCCCATTTCTGGTGTCCCCTGCCATGATATTGCTGGAATATTGCTAAAAGCGGTGAAAAAATAAACTCACACGAAACGTTTGTTAAACTTCGCGTATTTTAAGAAAAGGTATTTGATATTGAAATTATCACCCACGCGTGCTTCAGTACGGTGATTAAATATGTATGCGTAAGTAATCTCCCTTAGTATGTCCAACAATATGAACCGCATATGTAGGAAGGAAATTAAGCATCATATACATCATAATATGACGTCACTAATAGGTACGTGCACACGTTCCTGAGCATCTTCTAACTTTGCATGGTGGGAATAAGAAATATTGACTTATTTTACTGGAGATATGTTAACCGTATTGGCCTTTCAGAATACTACTAAGTTTGTTGAGGTAAAGAATGGCTAGAAGTGCAGAAATATTGCTCGGCATAAAGGGGTAGTGGGCGCTTGGGAAGGTGAAGTTATTTCCTTTGTCATTCAGTCTTCAGTCATTTATCTGTAGTCCAGGTGGGTACACCAGTGGTAGGGAATAAATTGTGATCAAGCGATATCTGATGACCGATATACCTATAGCTTAAGTTCAATTTCGTGCCAGAATCACCTAGTTGCCAATCATAGCAAAACGTACAAATCATATGTATAATGAAACAAATGAGAAAAAGTGGGTGGAAACTTGGAAACTTGAAGTTTGTAATGCCTACTTCTTGTGTAAATGTCGTAGCCCAAATGTTCACAAAGATGATTTCAGTGAGGGAGACCAGCATGCCCCGTCTCTTGTAACCATTGTTAAACATTTTATCTTGTCATATATTGTATTTAAACTAGTGTAAATGTATTTGGTGAGACAAAATAAACAAACTCATGCACATGATAGCCATTTCATTTAAATGAAATATTGCATCTAACGTTACATATTACACCGTGACATTAATACCCGATGACACGCAAGTATTATGTCCACTTCTATCACCAGCCAACAACGTCAGCCTTGATGTCCTTGACCTTTCCTGGAATCACATACGCACACAAGGAGCTGTTATGTTGGCCAAGGCGGTCAAGGTCAGTAATAACGTTAGAGTCCTGGGTACCGTTGCACAAAACCACCTTAGCGCTAAGACTATGTTAAGGTATGGGAGTTACGGTCACCTTAGTACTAAGATCGCTTTGTACAACGGTACCCTTGTCTTCTTCTGTCAAACATGGTCTTTTATTCACTAACCTTAAGCTATCTAATAACAAAAAAAACTTAAGCTATTTTCATTGCCTTCGCTCTGGTGTAGCGTATTGACCATTTGGTAAATGTAGCGCCTTGATCACCTTTTGTGAAAAGAATTCAGTGCATCAATGTTTGTTTCTTGATCAATGTTTGTTACTGCATAAGTGTTTGTTTCTTGATCAATGTTTGTTTCTGCATCAATATGTTTGATACTGCATCAACATATTTGTTTCCGCATCAACATATTAGTTTCTGCATCAATGTTTGTTTCTTGATCAATGTTTGTTTCTTGATCAATGTTTGTTTCCGCATCAATATGTTTCTTTCCGCATCAATATGTCTGTTTCTGTATCAGTGTTTGTTTCTTGATCAATGTTTGTTTCTGCATAAATGTTTGTTTTTTGTTCAATGTTTGTTTCTGCATCAATATGTTTGTTCCTGCATCAATGTTTGTTTCTGCATCAATATGTTTGTTTCTGCATCAATATGTTTGTTTCTGCATCAATATGTTTGTTTATCAAAGTTTGTTTCTGGATCTGTATGGTTGTTCTAATTCAGTACAACCAGCAACTGCGCGTGCTGCGTGTGTCAATGAACGGGTTCCACGTGGAGGGTGCACGGGCCCTGGGCGACGCGCTGGAGGAGAACACCACCCTATGGGAGCTGGACGTCAGTGCAAATAGGATATCAAGGCTTGGGGCTCGGGCACTAGCTGAAGGCATGGCTTACAACACAGAACTCAGGTGTCTCAAGGTGTGCCTTTCTGCAAGCAGTATACATTGCAAGTAGATATACATCTAAGACATGGGTCATTTCGGGCTTTCTTCCAACATCAAACGCACCCGACATTCTGTTCAAGTTATGTTAAACCATAGTCTTACTTGCACAATCCATCTTTCCCCAATCACTCATCACTTCTCTCACTGGGATCAAGCAACCAATTAAAACTGTCCAATTTGGTAACCACTTTTGTACAAGGCATAAAGTGATTGGTACCTTCTTCTGCCCGGTGACAAACACTATCCCACAAAATAATTCACCAGCCCGGGTTTCATCATGAAGCTGCTAACGTGATGAACATTTTTTGTATCAGGCCATTAATCTTGCTTGATTTAAAAGTGTATTATAACTTAACAAGTCGGAGAGAGTGATATATTTACAAAATGACCCAAGAAAAATTCACTAGCCAGTGACTGAGATTTGTTGGCCCGACTGGATTTTTACCAGCCACGGGATAGCGGGCCAGTGGCTATTTCGCACATTGTCCACAAGGGAATAGGGGAAGATTTACCGATTTGTAAACAAAGGCTCATTCAGATGAGACAATAATGAATTTTCACGCGTCATGTTTCCTTTTAACAGGTCGGGTTTAATCCCTTAACCCCTGAAGGAGCAGAAGCCATATTAGATGCTGTGGGAGGCAGGGACAACAGCGAGGGTATGGTGGTTGACTTTGAGGTAAGCGGATTAATTAATTAAGGCGTATTCAAGAATCCCCAAACCATTACAGTTACTGTAGTTTCCAGTGTATGCCAGATTGAGTCCCAAGTTATTCCTTTTGACGTCGAATAGTCCCACATCGACCCTAAAAAAGGATGCTTAAAGACATTAAATGTATGTGCTGTTTGTCTATATTGTGCACTAAAATAGTACAGCCAGTGTATGAGTGGACGCTGTATTCTGAAATTCTGAAACTCTACATTGTATTTACACAACTGTGTACAAGGCGACATCCAGAAAACAATGATATGCAGTCCAGGTGCTGTTGGTATTATATCGTATAGCGATTTCATTAATTTCATCAACCGAATCCCATCAAGGCGTCATGCCTGTATGGCCCAACACGGACGACACACCACATATAGATCCACACGCCTAACATTAATTTTATAGATATTTATTTCATTATACCTTCACTATCAATTTATCAGTTCGTCTTACTGTCGGTAAATATATATATACAATGTATATGTTTGCTTTACCTCTGACGGAGTGAGTAAGTGAGTTGGGTTTTACGCCGCTTTTAGCAATATTCGGGCGGTGGGGTAGCCTAGTGGTTAAAGCATTCGCTCGTCACGCCGAAGACCCGGGTTCGATTCCCCACATGGGTACAAAGTGTGAAGCTCATTTCTGGTGTCCCTCGACGCGATATTGCTGGAATATTGCTAAAAGCGGCGTAAAGCTAAACTCATTCACTCACTCACTTTAGCAATATTTCAACAATATCATGGCGGGGGACACCAGGCATGGGCTTCACACATTGTATCCATGTAGGGAATCGAGCCCAGACCTTCGGCGTAATGAGCGAACGCTTTAACCACTGGGCTACCCCACTGGCCCGAAACCTCTGATAGAAGAAAGAAAAAGAAAATGATACATTTATTTGATGTTGAATTTGGTTCGCAAACATTACTGATCATGCTGAGTTGACACAGCGTCAGTCTGATAAATCTTTTGAAAGCATTCGTTTTGAGTGAATATAGTTGCCAATAATCGATTTGTAATCCGCAGGGTGTGTACGTTAACCACAGTTTTGAATCCCACGCAACTGACCTCATGGAGGACGGCAAGATCAAGGTTATTTACCATCTAGAACCATCACGTCGAGGAAGATCATGGGACGTGTTATCCAGCTACATACAATCCCTGCTCCATCTGATTCGTGAGTTAAAACTTGACGTCACAAGCATTTTCGCTGACATCATAGAAGATAACGTCATCATCTCAGCGAGTGACGTCATCCAGCGTTTGTTGGTGAGAGTATTAAAGTGTTCATACTTGCTGAAAGAATAAACGTGACAACGTTGTCTTGATCAACCATATACTTCCTTAATACGGCCTTTATTTTGCTTTTGCGCATGTTTGCATTGATTCCAGTCAGTTGTTAAATATAATCCTATGAAATAGCGCATTTGACTGTATTTCTCTGTTTGCACAGAAGTCGACGCAAATACGAAATAAGATCTCCCAGGCACTTTTGAACCAGTTCGTTCACTCAAACGGCAACAAGCGTTTCCTCATCCGGTGAGAACTGATTTTTAAACCTATGATATGAGATTGATTATCAACACCAACAGTCCGTCTGGGGAGAATCCAGTGCATGCATATAGACTTTGAGTGTGTCACCCGACTTATAATATGTGTCATCGTAAATGGAAGTTTTGGTCATTCCTGCCAACCATTGATTGCCTGCCCATGCTGGAGACCAAGCTAGCCGCTTGGATATACATATGAAATGTTGCCAACGCCGACGTAAAACAATATTCAATGACTCAATTTACTCTCGTGTATTCATGTCAGAACTTAAACAATTGCTTTCTTTTCTTCTGGGTTCAGATCTTCAGTAACACACAACTTCAATGACCTGTTTTTCATATTTCAGAGATTGGGACATGGCAATGCAGAGACTACACGGAAAAGGAGACATGCAAAGTCCGTCAAAGTCCTTGACCTTGCTACCGTCCATGACCTCCGGGTCATCTGATTCTCGACGCTCAGCAGCATCCTCCTGGTGGAAGGGGAGCGGCACCACTGATAACAGATCCAGGGGTGGTACTCCAACTGTGTCGGCAGAAGCTTGAATATCATCGACGGAACATTCGCACTTTCTGTGTGACATTCTGACCCTTTCAGTAAAGCCGTTCCTGTGTTTCCCGTTTACATAAGTTGGGAACTTATGGTTTACATCGATGTGGCCTGTGCCAAAGTTCCAGTAACTACAGCCACTTATATATTTCACTACTGATAAGGAACGATCGGACATGCTCTCTCTAAGAAGATTTCAAAAAGCGTCATACAACTTTTGTTCAGTATTTGCTTTTACAACATTCGGAAGGCCTCAGAATAGGAGACGTCTTATGATGGGTTATGCGGAATATATATATTTAGAAATTTTAGGCATTGCCCATTTTGAGTCGACTGTAAAATATATTATGAGCATGAGTGTATATAGAGGATACTAAACGACCTTCCGTGTAATACCATATTTATTAAACGAGTGAATGATTTGGTATCAAACGAGCGAAAGTTTGATACCAAATCATTCACGAATTTAATAAATATGGTATTGCACGGAAGGGAGTTTAGTATTCTGTTTATTACTCGCCCACATTAATCAGGCGAAATCGCCGAAAAACGACCTAACAGTGTGCAGACATTTGCAGCAAGACAATCTAGGTCACGCGTATGAATACATAGCTTCGGTGAAATCATGGGATTTCCATCTGCATATAGTTTGAAAATAAAAACACAATAGATGGTGTCATTTGAACAAATTAGCATTTTATACTTTGAAAAGTTTCAATCGAAAACTCAACAATTGAAATCACAATGCATTTGAAGTGATAGACATAGTCTCATTGGGTAACCAATAACAGGGATTCCCTTGAATGTGGCGGAAACTTTATTTTGAAGATTTGAAGAAGTGTCAGTTTATTTGTTCTGTCCACCATAGAAATTCAGGTTGATTACTGAATTATTTACGGCACCTGCGAAGATTGAACTCAGATTGTGAACTTGAATCTGTGACATTTATTGTTTGAACTTGATTTTGAGATGCGACATTCGCCACTGATAACTGGCGGTTTTCCTGCGCTCAAAGTGCCATGTGCGAATCACTAGCATCATCGCTCGACCTGCTCAATATCTTGCTGATAGTTTTGTGTTGATCTTCGGATATGTGCGAATAGTTATTGATGCTTTGCACGTTATTATGCCCACTGATCTGCATAATCTGCGTTGGAGGCACATTTTTGTCAGAGGGTGTTTGAACAAGATACGTTCGTGCAGAATGGTTTGTGAGGCGTTTAGTCTGCTCAAGTTCAGTATTGGATGCCATTCGCTTCATAATAGAAGCGAGTTCATTTACGCCTACCGATTGCCGTTTAAACCAGGGTAACTCGTGCGGATTTTGAATTGGTCGCCAAATACAAGGGTGCATCAGGTGCATTGAACCCAAGAGCTCTGAGTCCAGCATACATCTTGTAGGCTAACACCGGACATCGGTCCATGTGGCCCAGGCTTTCGGTGTGACAGTACGGACATCACGGGTGTTGACCCCGGTGCGTGTTTTTTGTCTGACTCTCGTCGAATTCAAGATATTCAACACCATTTACATCAGTTTGTCCCCCAGTTCATGTGAGGGGTTACACTGCGCAGACCAGAGTATGTAGTGTTATGCCACCACAACGTATTCAAAATGGATTCAGGATTATTTACCCCATACTCGCCGGAATCCCATAGTGTCTCGATGTCGATATCACTGAGAGATTGAGCCCGCTTGGGTAGGTTCCCTAATCCATCTTGTTTCAGGAGTTTCTGTTTAGCTTTTAGAACATCTTTCAGATTATTGAAATCAAAATCAAACAAGATCGATTTTCCGTAAGATTTAGAACGAAGATGCCAATCGATACTCGATAATATGCTCCTCAGACTGTTCGGTTCGTAGTTAGACCCATCCCCTTTCTTGACCACCATCACAAATTTGCATAGCAATTTGCATAGATCATCTGGCGAAATATCCTCTATCTTTCTGTAATCATCTTGCTCATTCATAAATCGATACAGTATCTTCAAGTCATAGGAGGTTTTCCTTGCTGTGTTTACATTCACATTTCCCTGAATGAAATCCTCAATTTCCGACTGATTACAGTATTGAATTTCTTCACAAAAGAAATCATCGTCAACGATCCTACTGATCAGATCATCATCAAAGATATTTTCGCTAGGTGTAGCGCTTACAGTTTCAGACAGTTTTTGTAATCTGTAACGTGCAACCTGTTTACTGGATCCATCTTCTAGATGCGCATCGTACACGTGGAAAGTTCCCAAAGGTTGTACAATGTTCATAACTTCCTCGCATACAGCCGTCAATTCTCACACAGTCATTAACTTTAACTGCGTCCATTTTTATTGTTTCGTGAATGCATCGTCTGCAATGCATTGTATTTTTGTTGTTGATTGTAGTGATCAATAGTGTTAATAAAATATAAAGCTATCGATTTATTTGTTTTTTGCTTCCAAAATATATAATCCTAAAAAACATCGTATAAAAATGTGTTACTTATGTTTTTGAACAGACGGGACTAAACACTTTGACAGAAGCCATTTTGCTTTGTCATGTGATACATCACGTGATTGAAAGTAGTTCCAGAAGAACTGGTTCACGTGCGGCGGTATTACACTAGTTAGATATAACTGTATAAATATTACACTGCAGTATCTTCCACGGGCGAGTTATAATGATCTTTAGCACACAGTGTTGATACTAGGCTTTTCCGACAAATTTATCGTATCTAGCCCCACTCGTGGCACCCGTCACAAACATACACAAAGGCAACTGACCTGTTCATCTCATGAATATATGAGAAGTTATTGTTTGTTTGTTTCTTGTTTGACGTCACACTCAGCAATGTCGGGGATATGGGGCGGGCGTCTGTAAAACGGACCAGACAATCCAGTGATCACCACCATGAGCATCGATCTTCGCAATTTTATAACATATGTCACCCAAATCAGCCTGAGCATGACCACCAGACCCGGTTAGTCGCCTCTAACGACAAGCATGGGTTGCTGAAGACCAATTCTAACCCCTTGGTTATAAAGGAATTTCGTTAATATCCATACCTTGTAAAATCTACTCTGACATCCTCAACACTCGCCTCAGCAGATGGTTAGAGCGTAACGATAGCGTAATTAAAGGAAATTTTCAAAGAGCTGTGAATTCTATGTACGACTCTACGTGGTCTTCAGTCAGTGTTAATGAGAGAGAGTTTATTTCATACAGGGACCACCGACCCATTATACAATTACAAAGATGGCAATACAATCCAGCGCCATACATAATAGAAGCTGTATGCTAACATGTACAATGTCTCATTTAATTTTATACTCTATATTCAGAAACTTCGCTCTTTTTGCAATGCAAGTGTGTTATACTCATGCATATAAGTATCTTGTTGTTTGGTTTCATGAACACCTTGATCTCCAAGTCAAAACATTGATTACATAAACAGTTTCGTTGCCTGTTGACCGTCCTATTGCGCAACTTAGTACACTAACCAGTCGAGACTTTTGAGAGTAATTCATTTAACTGGATACATAAATATTAATCAGTATTATTTGATACATCTAAGCACTTGTATATTGCAACACCACGCTCCATCTAATCCTTGCAAACACGTCGTGCAGCGTGCTCTGTCGTACGGCGAGCTCTGACAAACAGAAACCTGGAAATCGTGGACATCTCAAAACGAGGCTCTGCCGCTAGAAAAGTTTGGCGGTCTGGTACGCACTTGATATATCAATCGCATTGTGTGTTACAGAAGTACACTGAATAAGCGCAAAAAACACATGTGTAACCAGTAAGCCAGATGCATTGTGAATCATTTTACGACCTCATCAAACTGGGTCAGTCTGTGACGTCTTAGTTAAGGTCATGCTGCCTACACCTCGCCATAGAATATAGAAATACGATGTTATTAAAGTTTATAATTAAAATTCATTTGTAAATACCATTTTCTTATGAAACAAGGAATTGGATTTCAGTGTAACCATAGTTGTTTGTGATGTGTATTTTCACTTTCACACGAGAAAATTCTGATCGGCTCATGTTTCGGTTTGATTTCACGGCTGATGAAACAGCCTTTGGTGTGATTATATGTAGTTTACGATTTGTTTAATAAGTTACATGAAAACCTTGTCCAACCGGTTCTCTCATGTGAAGCTGCAGTGTGTTGCACACGTCAGTTCTAGTTGTATAAATGCTGTACAAAACCGAGCATGTGCACATGATTCTTAACAGTTCGCAGAGATATGGGCTGGACTTCGCCTCACACGAAGCAAAAGCTAGAAATCTGACTACGACGGTATCAACTACAAAACTGTGACATCAATCGATTGAGTAGTAAAATCAATCTGTGGTGACGCGATTTTCGTAAATTATTAGTAGTAGTAATCTATGGATATTTATATAGCGCTATAGTCCATCCCACATGCATGCTCAAAGCGCTTCTTTGATTTTCCCTCGATCATTGGATGTCAATCTCAGCGGCACATCATACTATAAATCTCAACTCCCTGGGTACCATACAACTCTTGCCACAAGGCGCACCGAGTTAATGTGACTTTCCCATCGAGGTACCAATTCACAGCTGGGAGGACTGGACCACGTAGTCACAGTACTTTGTTTACTGCACGTTGCTGTACCCGCAACTAGGTGTTTGCGCGTATTCATGTTGCCACCTTCTGGTCATTTATTAACGGATTCGTGGGTTCTTTTAAGCGCACAGGGTTGTATAGTACACTGGGGGTTGTGACAACACTGAAAGAGTTTGCACACAAAGTTGACTCCAAGGTTTTTACGCCCGGTCACAGATGGGCTCGATCCCGGCACCTCCAAGCTCGCTGGATGACTAGCCTGCAGCTGGCGCCTTAGGCAGCTCGCCCACCACGCCCCCACTGGACTAATAAGGTTTTTACACTTATCAATTCGTGGCAATTGCCTATTTTGGACTTGCTTAATTTATAACCTTTAAAACCTCCACTGCAACAAACCTGCTATTTAATGAACATTCCCTATGTAAGTAAATCCCTAGCCACCCTTGTCTACAGAACGTACAGGCGCGGTAAACTTTATATTAAGCGTTAGCTACCTTTTATCATATTATAATGTTATGCATTGTTTAATAGGCATATGAGTGTGTATGTTTAAGTACATCAGTATATTTTACCATTTACCTACATTACCTGTTCACAGCAAAAATAACTTGGTTTCCGCAATGCGGAAACCTGGTGGAAAGTGGACTGAAACTTAAGTTTCCACCTAGAATCCAGTGAGTTTCCGTTCTTTTACATTGAGTTTCCGCAATAACGGAAAATTACAATTACCCACTTTCTAAGGGTTTCCGCAAGGTTTCCGTAACCCACACTCCAACAGGTTTCCGCAAGGTATCCGTTACCCACACTCCGACAAGTTCCCGTTGAGTTTCATTTAACTTTGAATCCATCAGGTTTCCGCAAGGTTTCAGTTATTAATAAGACTCCAACAGGTTTCCGCAGAGTTTCAGTTACCAACTATTCGACATAGTTTCCGCATAGTTTCAGTTACCGGTTTCAATTTCAGGTTGACAGGTTTTCATATGCGTTTCAAAGAGCCAAATTTAAACATTCTTCTTTACTCATATCATAAACTCTTGTTAAAAACAATATAAGCAATTTGTTATCATGACATTTACTCTAATGCTCTTTAGCTATTTCATTATTTTTTTACCTTTTTAATTCGGCATCCCATTCAAATTTCCCTTTCTACTAAGTTGTTGGGGTTTTTTTGGTAGTAACACCACTCTTTCAAAATTTCTATTTTTTGTTCCCCTCATTTCTTAATAAGTGTAACACTCCGTCGCGGAATACCTTAGTTGTGCGTGCGACATAAAATAAGCAAATAACTACTACTACCTTACTCCAAACGACACACCCCTTCTTCATTGATAGTTGGGCTGTTCCATTATTCTACAGGGCAAACAATCATTTCCCACGCTGCCTACAATATCAACAACTACAGCCCTCCTCATCCACTTCACCCCTAATCAACCACTACATCCTCCTCATCCACTTCACCCCAACTCACCCACTACAGCTTCCTCATCCACTTCACCCCTAATCAACCATTACAGCCACCTCATCCACTTCACACCTACTCACACACTACAGCCCTCCTCATCCACTTCACCCCTAATCAACCACTACATCCTCCTCATCCACTTCACCCCTACTCACCCACTACAGCCCCCTCATCCACTTTACACCTAGTCACCCACTACAGCTTCCTCATCCACTTCACCCCTAATCAACCATTACAGCCACCTCATCCACTTCATACCTACTCACACACTACAGCCCTCCTCATCCACTTCACACCTACTCACCCACTACAGCCCTCCTCATCCACTTCACCACCTAATCAACCACTACATCCTCCTCATCCACTTCACCCCTACTCACCAACTACAGCCTCCTCATCCACTTCACCCCTAATCAACCATTACAGCCACCTCATCCACTTCACCCCTAGTCAACCACTACAGCCCTCATATACACTTCACCCTACTCACCCACTACAGCCCTCCTCGTCCACTTCACCCCTAATCAACCACTATAGCCCCCTCATCAACTTCACCCCTAATTAATCACTACATCTTCCTCATCCACTTCACTTTAAACTGATTGAATAAAATAATGAATAAAATCAACAACAGTCCTCATAAAAGTTGTCAAAACGTACACTATAAGTTACTATTTCCATCTTGTTTGTGCGATATCGTGTAATGTAAGTCAAGTGACATCTCAGCTTTCGCCGCATTGAACTTCACGCTTGGACACGATGTTTAATGCTAGCATATATGCATGAAGCATTTTTGTCACAGGTCATAACCTAGCACGATACGTCCATAAAGCTCAATCATTTACATATAGGTGATTAGTTTTTGCTTAACACGTTCAGAATAGTATGATTTTACAAAAACAATATCGTCTAAATCTAAGCGTTTTTGTTTACGAGGGCGGCATCCATTGCTGTAATTTGACTGGCTTCCTTCGGCCACATGCATGATTTTTACCAATCACGATCCTTATAGCAGACTGTGGCGAAAAAGCGTCATTAGAAACCAATATTTATCCATTGAAATCGCTTCTCACAACCTCGAAAATACTCGTGGCAAGCTCACAGTGAAATTATTGATGTTCAGAGCTCCCGAACGATACCCGTCATTACAAGAATCGCATCGCGTGTTATTCATCAAAACTTTCGGAAACTGAGGTATTTCCCCCTGTTGTGTCATGTTATCCAACGGGAAACCACTGCCATTGGGAAATAGCTGACCATACATGCTATTTAAGAAATCTTTTATAAAAAAATTCCGATTACTTAAAAATGAAAATATAAAAGAAACTGGTAAGGGGATATTATGACATGTTACAAATGGAAAAGATGGTCGCAGTTTTGGCTTCCTTTGTGGTTTATGTGGACATGATAAATGAATCAGCTTGAAAGGAGAACAAAGTTAAATAATTTTAAGAGAACAATTATTTTTAGAATCTTATTTCATTTCATTGCCATGGTATAAAGTAGTTAAATTAAATTCAAAGCGATCAAAATATCACTGAAATTTATTTATATTATTTTATAAGGTTAAAGCAGTTTCTCCCATGTTCTTTAAAAATGAACTTACCAGTGTGTTATCTGATAATTTTGTTCTGTTATGTAGAACAAGTTGAAAAGTTATCTGAATTTACAAGTGTGTAGTTCGTATGTATGTTGGAATATACTTGGACCGTTCACTTCAAACTGCATGTGATAATTATATTCTTTCAGTAAAACAAGTTGAAAGCTTTGATGAATTATGTAAGGTTTGAAAAATTGTCTGAGTTTATGAGATTGTAGATTGTATACGTTGGAATCTACTTGGACCATTGACTAGAAAATGCACTTGCATAATATCAAGGTGCTATTTGAAAATGATATTCTTTCAATAAAACAAGTTGAAAGCTTTGATGAAGTATTTAAGGTTTGAAAAGTTGTTTGAATTTATGAGAATTTGGAATATATATGCACTTACATAAATCAATGTGCTATCTGATTATCTTTCAGCAAAACAAGGTGAACATTTTTATGTGATTTTACCTACATTAATGAAGTGTCGTTCAAACCAAATCTTATGTGCCATTTTCTTTTACCTAAGACTTAATTTTTGACAATTGCATCTTGAAGAATTCTTGGAAGGGTCTTGATATTTGGGTTAAATTATCTGTATGTACCCTGAATTGCTGAATGATCATAGTAATCGCAAATTTGTAGTCAAGATTTACAGTGTTCAGAAAGTAAGAAATGGTTGAGCTTTTGACTATTTTATTGAATTCATAATATTAGATGCGCTTGGTCTATATTATAATACCTACTTAAATGTGTCTATACACTTAAAAACTGCAAAATACCCCTAAGTTGCAAGATGTGTCCACCTAAACCTAAATGAGAGTAGGCAGCACTGCTGTATTTGTAAGTATATCGTATCAATATGTGACGATTGTCAGATCCCTATGATCGTAGTTCATTTCTTTTTCCCCGTATATGCACGCATAGGGAAACGCTTTGTAATGGTCCGTGAAATATGTACAAGGTCCCTCATGCACAGCGCGACCATTAATTTTCTCGTAGAAGTAGTTAGGAATGAATGCAACCCGACCCAAACAGTATCGTATGTGCACAGCTAGATACCCTTGTAACTGTATACACTTGTAGCTACATTCCACCGTCTGTATTGCTTTCCTAATCTTAATCACTCATGAGAATACCTGCAAGTCTAAATAAGGAATCTGATGTAATTTTCTAATGGTAAGGGGGTGCATTTTTACCTTATAACACTACTAACTGCACACGGTTATCAACCCGTGAATATTCGGGTTAGCATTGGTGTCTTCAGCAACCCTTGCTTCCTGAAAGAGACGATTACGGGGTTGGGTGGTCAGACTCGCTGACTTGGTTGACACATGCCATCGTATCACAACTGCGTAGAATAATACTCATGCTCTTGATCATTGGATTATCTGGTCCAGACTCGATTATTTACAAACCTCCGCCATATAGCTGGAACATTGCTGAGTGCGGCGTTTAACCACAACCAACCACCACCGTTATTAGGTGGGTAGAACACCTGTGCACCTGGTCATGGGTTATTGGACTCTTCCCATGCTCCCCGTCTTCATAAATCAGATGCTGATTAATCTGAGGCTCTGTACGTGTTGATTGCATGCCACGAGGTGATACTTATTGCCACGATTCAGACAGGGCTCTGCATGTGCGGAGTATTACAGATGTTCCTAGATATTCAACAGTGTCAGAGATCCTCCCTTTGAATCAGTGGCCTTGGGAACGTAAATGAATACCCTTAAGTTCTGTTTAGTCGGGAATTGCTATTTACCGGAAACAAACTATAGGTTTCAGTTAGCAAGGCTTCTACGGACGTAAAAGTTTCATCATCAAAACTTCGTGTGCTTCCCGACATGGAGACCAGTGTGGAGAACGCGATCAGGGTAAGTTAAACTTAAAGACGTAGATTCTCCTATTTATGATTTATCACATTGCTATTTTCAAACCGTAACAATGGCTTTACATTATTTTATATTCGAACATATTATGAAATAACAGATATAAACGAGCCATTAAAAGCAACTGTGCTTTGGTATATTTCTTCGAAACGTGCAAATATAACAGTAATGAAGAGCGTGGGACCATTGAACAATGACCGGGTTGGTTGAGTAAGAGCTGTAAGGTACTGGGAACAGAACAGGCAAGATGGGTTACGCATTCGTGGCGATAGATAGTCACATTCAAACAGTGAGTAAGGAACTCGACACAAACTACATTTTCTAAGAGTCAAAAGTCCCTTTATCCATTTGCAATTGAATATCGATACTATGGGGATCACGCTGGACCTTTAGAGGACTCGGGTCGGTCTTTTAAGGCCACCCAGGGTATGTAAACACATTGAGACTGTGAAAGCCTATCGATGGTCGACAGGCATGAGACTAAGCTATCGGTCGTTCTTCTGCTGCCTTGTGGGCGCCCTGCCGAGCATGTATTGACAATGAACAGTGGTATCATATAGCTGATTTGCCCTGATTTACAAATCACCTGAGACAAATCGTCAACCGTAACCATTTCACACCACAGGCCCTCGTGTCTTTGCGAGGATTAAAGATTAAAAATATGATTTTTTAGATGAGCCCAGACTCGAAATGCTTCACAGTACAATAAATCGTGACAAGGCAAGACACTTCCGCGTACCTCACCCGCCTGCTGTTTTCGATTGCTACGATACCACCGCAAGCAATCGATTAAAACCTTTTTTAATTGTTCCCAAGGTATACAGTAAACACAGCAAAGGTGAAGATACATTGCTGTAAAAGTGTAATTATAATTAGTTGCTGAATATTGAGATGAGTGAATTTCATTTATGATTGACATTTTCAATTTCATTGTTTCTCGTTGAAATACCTTTATCTTCAGAAAATATATCTTTTAATACTTTTTTATAATTAATGAATTTTGGAATTGATGTTTCAATATAACATAAATTGATATGTTTTTTATGGCAGAGATGATGTTTTGATTTAGTAATACATCATTATGCAATGTACCAAACCAAAATGTATTTTGTAATGTTTATTTTTCGTGGTAAATAGTTATTAATCCAGAATTCTAGATCATTCCAGAATTCATTCTTTCACAACCTTCCCAATAAACATGACAAATGCTCACAGAAATAGCATTGCAAAAACTACACAAATCATAGTCAAGCAGGTTCATTTTCAGTAATTCTCTTTAGTATAAATAACTCTTAGCAAAAATCTGAATTGAAAATAAAGAAATTTAACATCTTTCAATCCATGTCTAGAGAAATTAAAATATTTGTGCCAGTCAAATTCACAATCATTCAATATCATTTCCCATTTAGTACAAATCTCAAATTTATCATATTTAGAAATCAGCTTGTCATAAAATAATCTTGAACCCTTTGAGAGTTTTATCATTTTTCTTTGGTAAACATTGATGTAGGAAATTGTAGGAAGGAATGATTCTTGTCCTTTTGACAACATTTTTGCCAAATATCAGGTAAGATGTGAAGTAGATAGTTATAGTCAAATAGTGTCCCTCTTATTTTGTATTATAACTTTATCTTATCAAAAGGCATAAATCCATTTTCATCACACAGGTCTTTTACTGTCAATAAACCCTTATCAGCCAAGTGTTTAATAACTTGACAAGTTTGGGTTTTTTATAATTATGATTGAGCCATAATGGTTCTGCAATAATGTGATCAATATTGTCAGAATCAAGATTAAACATTTTGCATTAATTGTTCCATGCTCTTAAAACATCTTTCCAATAAGGTTTTTTTTAATGTTGAGTATTTTGTTAATATTTGGTCCATACTTGAAGATATCATTATAAGGTATATTACAAGGATTATTGTCAGATGATTTTGTACAGTAAAGTCTAAGAGTGGGTGATTTTAGAGCTTCAATAAATGATTTTAATATCAACCATACCCAGTCCCCTTCAGGCTGTAATCTTTTCATTGTGATTCTTTTTATTTAAGCATTTTTATCATTCCACACGAATTTGAAAAAAATATGCTTTTTTAAGGGATTTAATAAAGGCCTCTGGAGGATTGGGCAATGAGCTGAAAATATGTAATTGTTTTGAGAGGGCTAATGCTTTTAATTGACAGTAATTTTTCCTGTCAATCTGAATGTCCTTTTCTCCATACTGCTAATATATGTTTATTTCTTCCAGTCTTTTTCTTGTATTAATCAACCATAGATCAGCAAGGTTTTGGGAAAATTATATTCCCAGCACTTCAAACTCTCAATTATATCATTCTATTTTCAACCTTTTACATAATATTTCACTGCCTGCCTTTGAGCCAATCCAGATTGCTTTAATCTTATCTATATTTATCAAGTATTGATTGTTTCAATAGCTGCACACAGAATCTCAACTGTACCATCAAGAAATCATTTTATTTTTGTCATCAATAACAATGCCTTTAATTTTATCATTATTTCTTATCATACTTCTAAAGATTTCAACTACAAAGAGGAATATATTTGGTGATAGGGATCATCCTGTCTACAGCCCTTTTAATTTTCAAAGACGCCACATCAGATAAGTGATCATTTTGTATCATGCAAGAAGTTGTGTGATATGTTAGAGGACTGAATTGATGAAATCTTTTGAAACAGTGTCAAATGCTTTTCAAAATCAATTAGAATCCTGGCATATTGGCCTTTGTTTTGTTTTTTTGCTTCAAACATGATGTCATATAATAATCTTGTATTTTCACTAATAGTTCTACCTGGGAAAACCTGTTTGGTTTTCATGTATAAGTAAGTTTAAAGTCCCTTTTAAACGGTTTGTTATGCATGCACTAAGTATTTTATAAACAGCCTTTAAATGAGTGGTTGGTCTCCAATTTTCATCTTAGTTCTATCTTTATTTGCATTAAGTATGCATGTTATAACCCTTCTCTTCATTGTCAAAGATAATTTATTCTTAATAGAAACATCATTAACAAATCGGAAAATCCATATTTTAAGGTCATTCCAGAAATATGTAAAGAGATCAATAGGGAATCCATCAATACCAGGACTCTTATTGTTTTTCACATCTTTCACTGCAAAGGTGATTTTATCCATATCAATATCATTTTCGATTTACCCATCATTCAGTGTAGCTGCTTCAACCTTCTGTAAATTGACATTATTTTTCCAAGTTGCTATTTGATGAATAGAAATATATAATGTCTTTTAAAATGTCCACAGCTGCTTTAACATAGAAATGCTATCTCTAATCTCCTCATTTTTATCAGTTACAATTCTATCTTTTTTTATCTTTTTGATATTATCTGTACACATTTCTTTTGTCTCAGAAAAGTATATAATTTGAAATGAAGTAAATCAGAGTAATGAATTGAGAGGGCAAGGCAGTGTTTTAGTTGATTTTCTAAAATGAGAGTAGGTTCAAAGTATAATTTTTCTGAAGTTAATTGACATTTGTTATCAATCAAGTTGAAATTAAAACAATTGGATTGAAAATAAATAAAAGGTACAAAAGATAAGAAACAGTCATATACATTCAGTAGCTGGGAGAGTTTGTACAACAGTGTAATTTGAACCTGATGGGAACAAGTTTTAGTCAACAACAGAGGAAATGCAATAAATAAACACAGAAATATGAGAAAATAAAACCAAAGAAAAACCGAGGCATGCTCTTTGACGGAATACTTCAGATATAAATAAATCATCCCAATTAAAAAGAAATAGATGTCTACTGGGAATCATTATCACTCGCGGTGTAGATACTGTATTGTACAGAAGGAATTACACATGCCGTCAAATTTAGAAATCTCTACCTACTTCGAAACTGATGCATGTACAAGAATCATAAGCTATGTTCAGGCATGAGCAAAGAAATTGGAATATGTATTTATCTATGGTGTAATGGGCCGAAATAAAATACAATGAATATCGAAAACACAGTCAACCTTTTCACAATTATTTATGTTTAGGAAACCCAGAAAGGCCACTAAACAAGCGCGTTTTGCAAGACATTAGCATTTTTTCAAGTGTTTTCCACCAAGGGTTGATATATTCTATCACAAATTCAAGAGGGACTATCATCAAACACCATGCTTCCAAACGTTCCAGATGGTAATTAGAAAGTAACAAGCAGTGTCTTTAGTGTCAAATCCTGTTTTAGTGACAGAGAATAATTATACTATTTATATCATACAAAATACATGTATTTCAATATAAAATGTTGCTTGAGAAATATGTTGTAATTATGTGTTACATTGAACTAAAGTAAGCTTGACCCGACCATGGGTCATTTGAACCGAAATCTGGACCGGAAAAAGTACAGATGTCTGTGTTATGGGTTTTTTTCCAGGTTTTAAAAGTTTTAAATCAAATTATTTATTTTCGAAAATGTAATCATGTAGATGTCTTTGAGTGTTGTCTTGCGCCAATACAGTTCAGTTTTCATGGATACAGCAGAACCTAACGTGTTTTCAATTGAAAATCAAACATATTACAAAATCAACTCACAGGCCATCCACCCGCGATAAGAAAATATATCTTTTCAATGTATGAAAATTTACTGTGTTTCAGAGATTTTATCCGGTTCGTGTGGTGGTCGTATTCCTGTCATGGACACTGACATCATTTGCATGTCACCAGCTTGCCAAGATTTACTTCCTCTTGAACGACTCCGAACCTTATGACGTCATTGTTGTGTCATGCACGCAGCTCTTCTTCTGTGCCCTGTGTCTGACAATCTCAGACCCGACCGGGACTCTTTCCGTCAATGATAACGTCAAGTACAAAAGTATCACATTAGCTGGTCATGCGATAGGAATGCTATCGACCAATTACAGCATGTCTCTTATCCACGCCTCCTCGACATTTGCAGTGAAGATGTTGCAACCAATCACAAGCGCCGTTATCCAGTGGATGGTATTCGCTGTCCCTCTCTCAGTATCGACTGTCATCAGTCTCCCTATCATCGTCACTGGAGCCATCATCTTCACCGGGAATCCATTGCAAGACGCCATTTTGTCCCAAGGGTTAATTTGGGCTCTGATTTCAAATATCGCACTGGTCTTTAGAAACATTGCTTTGAAGAAACTTTTTGAACATGGTCAACTGTTGACACAAAGATCCAAACATATAACATCCATTTCAATATGTACATTGGTAGTTGGTCTTTCGCTAAAATTCAAATTTGGGGATACTGAACATTTCTTAGCAATATCATGTGCAGTATTGTCGGCCATCGCCAACGTAGTCTATACCTACTTGTCGGTGTCAATGGTGCTGAAGTCGGTGTCTGTTATCACTCACGCTGTCCTCAACATCATGAAGAGAGCATTTGTCGTGGTTTTACTTTGTGTATTTGCTCAAAAGCATGTCCTCTTCAGTAACTGGGCTGGTTTGGCTTTGGCTGCAGTGGGAGTATATGTTTATTCAGCTGAGAAGAAGCCTCAGCAGAGCACATCGATGGATGGACGGCCTGTTGGTATGTACAACACTGTCATAGAGATGTTTCAGAGAAAAACAAAATACAAAATGCTTTTTTTTATTAAAGCACTTCTTCTTTCAGTGTAAGGAACTTTCTCAGTAGGACCCGTGACGATCCGGGATAGAATTGATCTTTAGTAACCCATCCAAGAGGCGACACGTGTGATCGTATCCCAATTGCGTAGATCGATGCTCATAATGTTGATAACTGGATTGTCAGATCCAGACTCGATTATTTACAGACCGCCGCTATATAGCTAGAATAATCTTAAGTAGGTGTCGTGTATGCGGTTAAAGATGAGGGGGTATGTTGCTAGGGTGGTAATAAAGGTTGTACTGTTAGTGTTTTGTGTACAACTGACTTCCATGGTATCTCTTTTAAAGTGCACCAAGCCACAACTGATAATGTAGCAGGCTGTATAAGCCCTTGGCTAAAGCCCTGTGCAGATCCGAGTTAGGATTCGTCCCCAGGAACTCACCCTTTTGGTAAAAGGCAACTAAAGGGATCGGATGGTCAGGCTCGCTGATTTGGTTCATGAATGTCAACGTATCCCAATTGCATAGATCGTTGCTCCTGATATCAGTCACTGGAGTGTCTGGTCCAGATTCGATTATTTACAGACAGGAATCATGTAACATATGCTGAGTTACATAACAAACTGACAAACCCAGAATAAAGAATGTATTTTGTCCTTTTTCAATCCCAACAAAATAGGCTAACGATAGGCACTTACATCAAAGAAACATACTAAACACCGCACCGTATGTACGTGTGTGAACGTCATATTTCAAAAACAAGTAAAGCTCCGGGTAAGGAACGAGCAGCGGGGTTGGGTAATCGGGCTCTCTCATTCATGTCATCGTATTGTAATTTCGTAGAGCGTTGTATTGAGTGGTCAATACTTTACAAACCATCATCATTTTGCGTAAAATAACAAGCATTGTCAAGGTCAGAATAAACCCCTTTTTTAGTTGATCACGCTTCTATCCACTAAAGGAATCGTATGATCAGTCACTGTGATTGGGTAATCCGGCGAACATGATATCTACCTGAAGTTGCGCGGTGCGTGACAGATCACCTGCCTGCTGCTTGGGAGTAGCTGAATTATTTCAAACTCACTCGAACATTGTTTATGTACTTGTAAACTAACCCGTGAAGATCCGGTTTAGAACTTGTGACCCGTGAAGGTCCGGGTTAGAATATTGATCTTCAGTAACCCATGCTTGTCGTAAGAGGCGACTAACGGGATTGGGTGTTCAGGCTCGCTGACTTGGTTGACACATGTCATCGGTTCCCAATTGAGCAGATCGATGCTCATGCTGTTGATCACTGGATTGTCTGGTCCAGACTCGATTATTTACAGACCGCCGCCATATAGTTGGAATATTGCTGAGCGCGGCGTAAAACTAGACTCACTCACTTAGAATTTGTCTTCATCAACATATGCTTGTCGTAAGAGAGGGCTAATGGGGTCGCGTGGTGAGGCTCGCTGACTTGGTTGACACATGTCATCGTATCCCAATTGAATAGATTAGTGCTCATGCTGTTGGTCACTTGATTGTCTGGTCCAGATTTGATTATTTACGGACCGCCGTCATATAGCTGGAATACTGCTGAGTGCGGCGTGTTACAAACAGAAACTTGTCATCTTATTCTGACTTCATTCATTCATTTCAGGTCAGCACATACGCAGGACAAGAACCTACATACTGGCTGGTTTAACTGGACTTATTATTCTATCGTTCACCTTCTCATCGCGTTCATCGTTCGATGAATGGCCTATATTACAGGTTCTTAAAAAGGGCATTCTAAATCACAATGCAACTGTTATGAATGACAAAAAAACAATAGTAAACGACGAGTTTCTGAAATGGAGATTGGTAGACCATCCCACAGACACTAATCAAATGTCATCGTTAATGACGTCACGTGATGACGTCATAAATGAAGCTCAGCGAATACATATGAACCTTTTCAAGGATTTGATTGGTGGGTATAAACGCGCAATGTTGTTTGATGTAGCCGATTATGAGAACAAAGGCGACCCGGCTATAGCTGTGGGCGAGATCCGTCTCCTAAGGAGACTTGGCATCCAGCTTGTTTACTATTGCGTATCTGCCAAGTGTACGGCAACTGCAATAGAAACAGCATTCAAAGAAAGCAAACTTTATTCCAAGGATGATCTAGTGATTCTGCTACAAGGGGGAGGGAACTTGTTTTCATACAAGAAAGCTGAAACATTGAGAGAACGGGTCATCACTAAATTCACAAATCACAAGATAATAATGTTTCCACAAAGCATTTGGTTTCGTTTTGGAGAGACAAAACTTCATCAGTATGCCAGTATGTATAACAAGCATGGCAACCTTACCGTGATGGTGCGTGACAGACTTTCGTTACAAAGAGCAAAGGGTGTTTTCACGAGAGCAAGTATAATCCTGGCACCAGATATGGCCTTCCAAATTGGACCTGTTTCGCGGTTCAGGACACCATCCTTCGACATTTTGTGGCTTAGACGCCAGGACAGTGAAACAACCGGATATAACCTCCCCGTCTTCCCTGCGAATGTCTCAGTTCGCGTTTCCGACTGGTTACACTGGTCCACGCCCCGTGATGATAGCTCCATGGAAACTGCCTTTAACATTGCCACAAACGGCTTGTTGTTCCTTCAGAGAGGTCGTGTGGTAATCACTGACCGCCTACACGGACACATCCTGTCCACCCTGCTGGGCATTCCACACGTGCTTCTGGACAACAACTATCACAAGGTGTCCAGCTACAGGCAGACCTGGACGAGGGGTGTGGAGTTCGTGAAACTTGCCAATACAAGCGCCCAAGCTCTTGACATGGCGATGGAACTCTTACAGAAATACAACTCAACACTCCCTGATATTGTTGAATATAACGTAAAGCATAACTAAGTTGGTATACGTTAAGGTTAAGGTACTGTTAGTACCTACACCGAAACGTTGCACTCATTGCAATAAAGAAGTTGACTATCCATAGAACTTGGTTTTCCTTCATCTTTACAACTTCTAAAATGCCAGTCAAAGAAGTGATACGTTAAGGTTGCCTGACATTGTCCAACATCTGAGGTACACACTAAAAGTTCTATCTATACTTAGATCCTCAATACCTAATTTTTATAACCTACCTATACATGTCTTGTTTCAAATATTTGATATGAAAATTCTACCAATTCTGGGGCGGTGGGGTAGCCTGGTGTTTAAAGCGTTCACGCCGAAGACCCGGTTCACATTCATCACATGGATACAATTTGTCAAGCCCATATCTGGTATCCCCCGCCGTGATGTTGCTTGAATATTGCAAAAAGCGGCGTAAAACCCAACTCTCTCACTCACTCTACCAATTCTGCCAAATGGCAGTGAAGTATGGGGCTTTTACAAATCACCCAACGTTATGAAAATTCACGACAAATTTTGTAAACAAGTTCTTTGTCTTCGAAGAAATACCCCAAATATCTTTGCCTGTGCTGAACATGGCAGACACTCATTAAAAGCAAATATATATTGTAAAATTATTAGATATTGGTCTAGATTGATCTCCCAAGATGATAATGTCATCTTTAAGAAAGCATATGAATATCAATATAGCCTTGTGGAGAAAGGACGCAAATGTTGGGCATTGAATGTGAAAAGTATTTTAAACCGTTATGTATTTGGAAATGTTTGTTTTTACCAGAATGTGGGAAATATCACTGTTTTCATGTATCTATTCTAACAAAGATGTATTGATCACGATAGCCAGTCACGGAAGGATGATCTGTGCTTTCAAAACTCGACTTTCTACATAATATTAAAGATAATGACTCTTATGAGTTTTACATCAGTCACATCAAGTCTAAAGTATTTCGTATTATTTTAAGTAAATTCCGACGTTCCAGTCATATGTTGATGATTGAATACGGTAGACGCCTTGGTCTTGAGCGAAGTGATCGCCTGTGTCCTTTTTGTATCATTCCAACTGTTGAAAATAAATATCATTTCTGCCTTGAGTGTCCATTTTACAATGATATTAGAGAACATACAATCCTCAAATATTATTATAATCTCCCATCACATGAGAAGCTGTTTCAACTGTTCAATTCAAAGAATATAATTATAAGATATCAAACTCGTTCCCCTTTCATATCAAGTTTATGTCCCGAGTGAAATAATTTTCCTTTGTCACGAGTTTAGCGAGTCCTAATTGAAAACAATGAAAATATCGTTAAAATAAACGATATGTTGTTATTTGCTTTATTTATCGTCGCACCCACAACTAAGGTATTTCGGCGACGGGGTAGTACACTTATTAAGCAAAGATACTGGAGTTTGCTGAGAGATTATTGGATTGTTAAAGGCTTTTGGGGGCTATGTAGCTACAAAAACCAGTATTACCATTTTGGTCCTTGGAACCGTCAGTATAAATGTGAAGATTATCTTGTGGATTGTAATTTTGTTGTATGATTTCTTGCACTGTGAATTTATTAAGTATATTGCGTTCAGTACGTTTTGTGTTGGCCAGGATTTTAGGCAGTAATACTGGAGGAAGAGATTTGTAATATGGATTTGTATTATATTCTGTAGCATATAAATCAAGTTGTTGTTTAATTTCCTGTATTTTTTGTCCAAACGGTTTTTTGGTATTTGCCTTTATTGATAATGATTTTATTTTTATTTTTAAGAGATGTATAGTGGTTTTCAGTTTTGTTTGTAATGGGTTTGTTAAGGGATTGAGTTACATATTTCATTGTACATCTTTCCAGTTCGAGAGTGAGGTCTAGTTCCCCGCATTCTACCAATAATGTTTGGAGGGATGTTCCTGGGAAGGCTCCAGTTATACATTCAAGTGCTTGGAATGGAGAACATTCCTCAGTTATCTCCCTTTACCGCTTCGCAAATAGATGGCGCCAGTCACTACGGTCCTAAGTTAACTTCCGGTATAATGATGGCGTTCAAAGTTTGTTGCACGGTCCAAGAGGTCAAAACTTGTTGAAATGGTTGTTGACTGTCATTCGAAATAGCGACGAATAATCAAACCAAAGCAAGATTAGGTAGCCGTCAGCTCTCGCCAGTCTCACTCTCAGTGTTGCGTGCCATTTCCACTTCTGACAGAGCGATTTCATTACTGCAACTAACTATGGTAAGTACCACGTATGTTTTAAAGTTTTGGGAAAAGGTTTGTTATTATTATTGTCCTTGCCAAATTTAGTTATCGTGCATGTCAAGCAAAATTACGAGCAGGGATTTTGAATCAATTCAGGAAAAAGAATCTTTGTTCAAGAGGGACACACACTTTAGTGAGGCTGCTTAGCAAAATAATTGTGCAAAATGTGATAAAAGCACCAAACTTGGCACAAACGTTCACTAATATGTAGTGATCATTCTAAGATAAGGAGGCATTAGAAATAATCATTCTTCTGCGCATCCGCAACATTTAAATAATACAATGACAAATTTCACGAAAACTAATAATACTTTTTATTTCAAACAGTTTTTATATGTTTTTGAAAAGCTTTTGACTTACAATCACATCAATACTGACCCTTTCTAGCATATTCCTTGGCACAAACACAGTGATGAACACTTCAGGGAGCCTTTGCGGCAGGTATAGCGATGTTTGCAGCCTTTTTTGCATTTGCATGAAACCAATTCCGAGCATGATTTTGCTTTATGTGTTTGTGTCATATCTTGAAATATTTCGCAGCCATAGAGTAATTTAGATATGATGAGTGATTTATATAGTAGTAGTAGTGTTTGTTTGTTGCTACCCCATTTACTATGTGATGGGTATTTAATAATGTTGAGATCTGACTTGCATTTTTCTGGTCTATGGAGACATTAAAGTCTCTGTCTGTTAGAAAGGCTGATACTGGTGCTGCAGGCGGGCCTTGTCTATAGGTGCCAGTAACATAGTTCTCGCCAAAGTAGGTGAGCAGTTCCTCAGCATCCTCATGGACAATGTCCTTCAGATGACCCATACCCTCAAGAGCATCAAGCTTGCCACAGAACAATCTGAAGTCTTGATCATCACGATAGGTCTGAACTAAGCCAAGACTCTGGACCTTTCTTCATGTACTCTGGGTTAACACACCACCTACAACCTCGAATGAAGACGATTTCAAGCCTATTTTGTTCTGACTCTGAAAGTGTTTTTAACCCCTACATGAAAAACCACGGGAGGCATGGCATTGGCAGTAGAACACATGTTTTGTGCGGGAGGACAAGTGGACAGTGGCAATGATCGAGATACAAGAGCGCCGCTCATCTTTTGATGTTGTGTGTTAGAAACTCCCTGTGCATTCTACACAACATACACGCTGAAGGTATTCAATGGCCTGATAATATACACAACTCTTCCAACCAGGTGTCCGTCAATTTTGACAAACTCATTAACTTTTACGGGCGACGCCATATTTGTTTACACTCACGATAGACCTAGTAGATGTATTTTATTTTTTTTGTTTTTATGTACAGAAACTTGAGTCATCAAAGGATTGAAAACTTATCCTTGTAACCACACTAAAAAAGATTTTTATTTAATTCCAAAGAAGTGTTCTCATATTACATGCTCTCAGAAGGTGTGAACACTTCTGAATGAAAATCAAGAATGGAATGAGTAATGAAAGAAGTACCGATAATGTCAAAGTTCACCTAGTAGCCAATCAAATCACTCGAAGGTGTAATGACACATGTGTCATAACACTTTGTTATGAAACCCCTCTACCCTTTACCACGTGGGTAATAATTGTCATTAATGATCTTGGAAATATTTTTATCTAGCTCTTAAAACACATAATATTGTAATATCTCCATATCCTGATGTGTATCCTGCTCCGTAGCTTCATGTTAATGATTATATTGGAGCTTGTTAAACAGCACATGGTCTTAACTGTATAATGGGCCTGTGGCCCCTTTACTGAAATGAACACCCCACCCTCTCTCACCAGTGGTGTTCCGATGAATCGGAATGTCCCTAAACGACCAAGCAATCGTTCACAGTTTCTCATTATGGAATAAACGATTCTGGAACACTTCTTTTGCATTTCTTTACAAGGAGGCTTTACATGATTCTTTTTCGCGGTTTAGCAATCTTCCCTTCAAACTAATGAGCCATGCTTCCTATTGTTGTTTATCAATGTGAAAGGTCACTTGGAATGAAACATATTCCGATTTTGAACTTTAAAAGCATTTTGGAGTCCTCTAGAAAATTCAACGGAGAAAGAATATTCTTTCATGCATTACATAAACATCATGCAATCACGATAAAATGGTGATTTCAAAATCTATGAAATTTAATATATTCGGTCTAATAATTAGTAAAACTAAAACATGTTGCAGCTTATAATAAGCTTAGAGTATGATAATTATATTGGAAATTGTTTAATCTTCAGATTCCTGAGATACGTTTATCATATCATATGACATATACATGATATTAAAGGGTTCAAAGAGCTGGCTTAAAGGTCGCATGCAACGTAAAACACAACTTTGCAGATTCTGATACTTTTCGGTATGGACTTACCGAAACAAATCATCAGAAATGCAGATTCAACTTATGAAGTTGAAAAATAACGCGATGAAAAAAACCGCGCGAAATCGGAGTTCAAACGTTTCACTAATTTTCCCCAGACTTTTCGGGGGAAAACTGGTTTCAACAGCTGGGCTGCGCTCATAGCACGTGCGCAATGAAATAGGTTCGCGCAGCGTGGAAGCGGGTTGTCCGGTGAATACTCGGTGAAGGCTTTGGTGTGAGCTATTTTTCTAATGTTTTGTTGATATCTCACAGGCGCGAGCTTTTTATATGTTATGACAGTAAATTAACAGTTTATATAATTTCATTTGTCTATTTCACCACACGTTCTTCTTACCGAGTCACTTTCTCAGTTCGATACTTAAAAGCAATGTCATTATTTAGCGTTGACAGAATTTCTAACTGTGATATAGATGTGTCGTTGTTACAGACAAAACTCAATGTCTTGTTTTATTGACACCTGTGTGTCTGCCTGCCTGTCTGCTAATGACAATATTCAATACACAGCTGCTATCACTGACCACATGCAATTTGAACTTAACACCAATCAGGCTATACACCATAAACAAAATGCATTGATTTATGGCCCGAGTTCGGTCTCTGTCACATTATGTAATTACACAGACAGGCAGGTGTGATACTTGAACACATGACATGTTATGATGTCTGTTGATTGCAAAATCTTATACACAAAAAAATGAGCATGTATTTACAAAATCCAACATCTCTATATATACACACACAATGAGCCGTGAGGGCATCTGCAAATGAACCAGCCGTTACACTTGAGTGCACACCCACCCGCTCTGACTGGGTTCGGTATCCCGGCTGCTTCGTTTCTTGGGAAGTAAACCCAAGTACACAATATTGCACTTTTGATTTGCGATTGTACGCTTATAATTTTGTTTATATGTTTTTTCATAACCAGCAATGTATATTATATGAATAAGTGATAATTGTGTTTTAATTATGTTTCATTTTTTTGGTTGCATGTGACCTTTAAGATAACAATCGGCCACTTTCAAAAACCTCTGCATGGTTCGTAATATTTCGCATTAAATCAATTTTATGTAATGCCATCGTGTAATGTTTCGCATCCATGTTTCGCCGTTTCGCATCCATGGCACAGTAACAAAAGCAACAATTAAATATTTTTCCATTGGGATCCTGGACAGATATCGATTGTTCTGGTTAGTGCTTGTTGGGCGAGTAGAACGGAGCGACAAAGTTAATGTAGCAGTTGTGTAGACATGTCACATTAGAACAGTGGTATTGAATATTTTATAAATGGCTATTGTCAACTAGGATAGTTTGACCTATGATGATTGGATTAGCTGACGTAGTACACGTAAATGTAATGCTGACGGTTTTGGATACCTGGCAACCAGGCTTACAGAAGCAGACCATCCATTATGAAACTGCTATTTTAATTCAACGGGTTTCTTCAACATCCTTTGAAAAGTTAAAACAAAATACTCGTGTGTTACGTCAGCTAAACCAGACATTATTATGTCCCTGTAATTTGTTCTGTATGTTTAAGTGAGTTATTACAGTGTCATTAGCACGACGTCCGCCGCTCTGTGTGACTTGTTTGGCCATCAATATGACATGAGACAAAGTCTATACTGATACAAAAGCACTGTCTCCACACGAGTTCTGCATAAGCAGCAGAGTGTACCGTTTTGTTATTCCAACACAAGGGACAGCAACAGGAAGGAGGGACGCTAAGATGGCGCGCAAAGAACACACAGTAAGTGAAATGACAGCGTTTAGAACTCTTTCCGAAGTTCCCTGATATTGCAGTGTTTATCAATCACAATTGTAACGTTAATCCATGTTCATTGTGTAATTAGTATTCGGGATTGGTGAATAAATATGGAATTATACAACTTCATTGCTTACACCCTAATGCATTTAGCGACGTTTCCAGGATAATGGTTTACTTATCTACACCGGATACATGCAGTAAAAGAAGACGTTTTCATCCATAAAGTGCAGTTGTATGTTTAATTATTAATTAATGATTAGTTGAACATATTTTGGAATTTATCGGAATTCTTTAAAGTAACTAAAACTTATTCAAGCAACGAAATATGTATCAGATGTAGTGGTTGACAACTGGAATGTACGAAGACAATATAATGACGAGGCACACGAGATCGGATTGAATCTTTCATGTTGATACGGTGTATGTGTGTATTAAATATGCAACCGTGGGGGCAAATACATAGGAGAGACATCACGCCCCACAGTAACCAGAATGAAAGAGCACCTCTGCTGAAACAAATCTTATATGAAAACTGTCTTATCGGAACATCTCATCAAAAATCATGAACACCATATTTCCTGGCAACAAACCAAGCCACTTCATACCAACATCAATCATTGGAAAAAGAGGAAACTCCAAAAGCATCTAAATCCGAAACAAATAGCCAGTCAGTAACAGAGACTAAGGCAATTACCTTCCCAGTGTTTACTTCTGTAATCATATCATCCACCACTGTGCAGCCTGTTCATTCTCATCATTATACTTAAATTACCTTATCCTATATATTGTTATTTTGTGCATTATCCCACCTCTGCATTTACCACCCGCTGAAGGAGCAAACATAAGCTCCAATTTACAAGAAGTTGTTGTCTATAAATGTTCTGAATGTTATGGAGTCATTATTTACAGTAATTAATGTTTGGGTCTTGATCAGACAATCAAGTGATTTCGATGGAAATAAATATCTCCACACTTGTTTACAGGTTTCTTCTCTGCCAAGTATGGCTGTCAACCTCCTCATCTTTCTTACGTGGACAGTAACAGCGTTCATTTGTCACAAATCTGCTGCCTTGTATCTCCGCCAAGCACATGACCATGTACATGGCGTTCTTGCGGTCTCGATCACTCAGGTGATTCTATGCATCAGTGTGTTTAAGATTCGACGTAAAACAGCATCTGAAGACAGAAATCACACACTACCAATCGTACTATATCACGTGACAGCAACATTTTTAACCAATAACAGCCTTTCACTCATTCCAGCATCATCGACTATCGCCGTCAGAATGCTAGAGCCAATTACAAGCGCCGTTATTCAATGTGTGATACAAGAATACCGCCCAGAAATGACTGTGATGATAAGCTTAGCCTTTGTTGGTCTCGGTGGTGTAATGTTCATTTGGGATCCCCTTCAAGATGGCGCGCTGTTTGGAGGGGTGCTAGTCGCACTAATGTCAAATCTTGCACTAGGACTCAGAAACATATTCCTGAAGAACGGTTTTACGCGGGGCAGCTCAATAGTACCGAGGAATCCAAAACGTACAGCATCAGTACTTATTGTCACCGTGGTATGCATTGGTATCTCAATGCTTGTTTGCCAAAAGGATGTTTTGCTGAGAACAGTTCTCTTAACGACAACTGCCATCTTCCACTCCCTGTATACCTATTGCTCGGTGACCATGGTGCTAAAGAGAGTCTCAGTAGTCTCCCACGCCGTCATCAACATCTTCAAACGTGTTACCGTCGTTCTGTTGCTGTGTGTTGCTGGGCAAAGATATGTGACGACATTCAACCTGATTGGTCTAACAACAGCATCCCTGGGCTCAGCAGTGTATTCCTTCAGAGGAAGGGTTCAAGACGTCACAGGTAGATTAGGAACCACATGCTAACATTTGATTCACATATTTAGAATGCGATAGGCATTTACAAGTTGGAAGTACATGTACACTTGATCTTACGATGGAAACAATGTTCATGTAACGCCGTTTGGTAGATTTCTCGTGACTTCCCCTGTTAAAGAATGTACTTCTGATGATGGGGCAACAGATCCCCAAGGCAAAACATCTTTAGATTCTATGTCGGATATTTTGTTTCTGTACATGCACCCTATGTATTTTTCACTGCGTACAAATATTTATGAAAGGGCGCAGCACGATGAAAAGATAAGAGCAAACCAACTGATGGTGAAGATGAAATCTCGAGTTCCAGTAATCTACATAGGCACCATTTGCTCATATCCTGTTCGTTTATTTGCAGGGAAGAACATAAACTTCGTGTGTCAACAAAACTTTACGTATCTGGTGACAGCCTTTACATGTCTTTTGCTGATTTTCCAAGTTCGAACCCCTTTGTCCCGAGCAACAATGGAGGAGGGGTCAATAAACAATCCTCGTGTCTACCCCAACATAAGTCCACATGTGCAGAATCAACCCAGCGTGTTTGAATTCTTTAATGAATCTCCTGTAACTCTAGTACAGAACATCCAGCCGGGAGCAAGAGAGAAACTACAAAGAACTGTATTTAAGCAAAGAGTTTCAAACGTACTTCACATTGGTAACGCTAGTGACAAAAGACGCATATTGTATGGTCCGTCTTGGAACACAGCTCTACTGGATAAGCAATGGAACAACAATATTTACAGACAGGTGTCATCAATGTCAACATTCGAAAACGTTATCAGTAAAAGTCGGGATATTCAAACAGATATATTCCGTCGTCTCATTGGGCGTTATGATTACGTTGTGTTGACCGATCTGGCAGTTCATGAGAATAAAGGAGATGCATCAATCAGTGCTGGGGAGCTGCTTCTGGTGAAGGACCTCGGTAAAGAAGTCATCTTTTACTGCAGCACATATGCTTGTAGTGATGCAAACCTGATGGCTGGAAGAGAGAAGGCTCTTCTATACGGCGTCCAGAATGTTGCTGTTTTGTGCCACGGGGGAGGAAACATGATTGCATATAGAGACTCTGATATCCTGAGGGGTAAAGTGTTTGAAATATTCCGTGGTTTTGAAATATTTGTGATGCCACAGAGTATATGGATTAATCCGAGACATCTTGATAAAACTCACTTACACGACACTGAGAAGGTGTATGCAAGACACCCTCGCGTGACACTCCTTTTAAGAGACGTTTATTCGTTGAGGCTTGCTACGAAGCATTTCCCACAAACACGATGCCTCCTTGTTCCGGATTCTGCTTTTCAGATTGGATCAGTGCCTAGATACCTTCAGCCCTCCTATGACATTCTGTGGATGGCACGTAATGACATAGAGTCTGCTCATTACAAAATTCCGAAATTCCCATCAAACGTGTCAGTCACAGCAAGGGATTGGAGAAAGTGGTTGACAGCGAAAGGGACAACGTCCACTGAAAATATGTTCCTTGTTGCTGTAAATGGATTTACGTTCCTCCAACGCGGACGGGTAGTTGTCACTGACCGTCTACACGGACACATCATGTCCACTCTGCTGCACGTACCGCACGTGTTGTTGGACACTGTTGATGGCAAGGTGGCTAAGTACCACAACACGTGGACACGTGGTCTTGAAGGGAAGACTGTGTTAACAGCAACTTCAGGGACTGATGCAATGCACAAAGCCATGTTCCTACTGAAAAAGTTTGCAAATGTTTTGCCATCGATTGATCCAATCATGAAAGTAAAGGAAACAATCGTTTAGATACAATATGTATGAAAGTAAAGGAAACAATCGTTCAGATAAAATATGTATGAAAGTAAAGGAAACAATCGTTTAGATACAATATGTATGAAAGTAAAGGAAACAATCGTTTAGATACAATATGTATAAAAATAAAGGAAACAATCGTTTAGATACAATATGTATGAAAGTAAAGGAAACAATCGTTCAGATAAAATATATATGAAATTAAAGGAAACGATCGTTTAGATAAAATATGTATGCAAGTAAAGAAAACAATCGTCCAGATAAACTATGTATGAAAGTAAAGGAAACAATCGTCCAGATAAACTATGTATGAAAGTAAAGGAAACAATTGTCTTGATAAAGTATGTATGAAAGTAAAGGAAACAATTGTCTTGATAAAGTATGGATATTATCAAAAGGCTTTATTTCACTCATTTACTCAGCGTTAAAAAATAATGATACCATATATAATGGCCGTCGTTGTATAGCTTGAATATTGCAAAGTGTAACATTAATAAGCGTTTTAGGATATATTTTCCTCACATCATTTGTTTGGGGATACACATCTTAGCACATGTACTTCAGTAATAAGTGAGTGAGTTGTATTTGACGCCGCTTACGGTAATGCCGATACATCGTGGTGTGTAACCTATACAGGAACGCCGGGACTGATGGGGGGCTGCAAGGTCAACCACTTTTGTAAACCAACGAGCACAGGTAAAGTGCAGGTAAACAGCATATCCCCAGCATATCCCCAACGGGATTTGAACACATTGTCATAGATTTCTGGGCGATGTGGGGTAGCCTAGTGGTTAAAAGGTCCGAAGACCCTGGTTCGATTCCCTAAATAGATGCAGCCCATTGCTCGAATATTGGTAAAATCGGCGTAAATCTAAACTCACTCACTCACTCACTCACTCACTCACTCACTCACTCACTCACTCACTCACTCACTCACTCACTCACTCACTCACTCACTCACTCACTCACTCACTCACTCACTCACTCACTCACTCACTCACTCACTCACTCACTCTTGCAAATGACTGTATCTTGCAAATGACAGAGCATTAGACGACCAGCCAACCAACGCCAGGTGTAAGCATCAGAACAAAGAAGCCCACAGAGTTAATCACAGCTCCATTATTTATTTACAACACTATTTCAGTGGAGAGACATAGAGTCATAGCAACACAACGTGGAAGTGGCAAGGTCCTTACAAATAGGAATAGGCAGAACATGTTTGTATCTCTTTTACACGTAAACCCCTCCCACGATATACAGATACAGAACTACTTACTCCTAGGCCAAATGTAGAGATAACATCATTATCAGGTAACATGATACACCAGGCCTTATCACCCATACTGCATATCCTGATCATGTTGAACATCAGTGCTTGTCACCGTCCATTAAACCATGTGGTTAATACTCATGCAGTTGGTCTATGGACATGTGGACACTGTTTCAACAGCAAGGTGAACCTTGTGTGTTTTAGTAACCTGATACATTCTGTGTCTAGTTCCACATTGACAAGAATCTCTGGAGGGTGGGAGTTGTCATACCAATTACTGGATAACGCCTTTACTGCTGCCGAGAGATCCTAAAAGATAGGGACTTTTCTAACATTTGGCCTAGGACTATACTGGCAAACAAGAATATGTTGGACCGGCGCAGAGAACGCGTTAACGAGAAGTATGCGGTGCAAGGCAATGAGCAAACCCATTTGGTTTGTGAATGGTGGGGCAGATGTAGGCTATACACGTGCAATACATGACGATTAAATTGACACCTTGCTCATAAGACTCTCACGTGGTCGGTGTAGCACTACACTTGATCGCGGACAACCTGGGCCTCTTCGCTCACAACGGCATGCGCCAGTGAGCGGCACTCATACATGCTCATACGGGTCAATTGTCAGGACGGTGCTCAATTTGTGCTTGTTTGCCAGTAATATACAGATATAGAACATATATTACTAGTATTAGGATCCAATTGCCCCAAAGGGAGAGTATCTACAAAAGATCTTTTATGGTGTCGTATGTGAATCTACTATAAAGAAATTCCAGATGCATTATCCTCATATGGCAAATATCATAATCTTGAGCGTAAAAGACGCTAGAAAAATAACATTTGTTAATAAAATAATTAATTTTTAGACTATTTGGACCTCATATCTACAGCAGTATGCCATCATAAATATTCAAATATTGAAGGTTTCAAAACTGTTGAGGCAGCAGTTCCTGAAAGAAGTAATAACATTTTTAACAGTTTTGACCAACATCCGTACAATCAAGATACCAAGGAGACGTTGAAAATCGTTTAATCATTGACAACCTTTGAAGGGAAACACTGACTATGCCCTTGAATTCAGAGCTAAAATGAAGTTCTTATCCCATCTTTATAGGCCATATGGTTGCAGAAGCTTGCAGAATATTTTCTTAATATTTTAGTCTAATTTTGAATCAATGAATGTGTCAAGTTTCAGTTTCCTTCGGTCAAGAGGTTTCCATGGCAAAGTGTCCGTGAATTAAGGACTCGCCGGTCATTACCGCCATTTTACCTCAATGTGAGCAGAACGTTCAAAGAGTGAGCGATTGAATTGGGCTTTACTCCGCTTTTAGCAATATTCCAGCAATATCACGGCGCGGGACACAGATATGGGCTTCACGCATTGTACCCATGTGGGCATTCGTAACTACTCATGTCATTCCGGCAAGCCGGATGGCGTCTCGTACCCCTCTCGTGGCCATGTTTACGACTAGGCCCTAATAAGCGCAAGCGGGCACAGAGATGAAAATAGTCTTGTACTAGTACCAAGGAAAGATAACTCTGAATTTCCAAACATGGCTACATCAAGAATATCCTATAGCTATATCCCGTGGACAAAAGAACTATACAGTCATTCCCTTTGTAAGTATGCTTTATTGTTGAAAGTAGCTGATCCTTAAGCTCAAGTTTATGTTTAAATTGTACTTTGCATAGTTAGCGAAGTTTCAAAGTTCAACGTTGCCGCCATTTTCATGCTTCGGAATGCGTTTACTACGCTCGATTTGATTGGTTTGCCACAATTCTTGGCAATAATGGCGTACGATGGCAGGCCTGCCAAAGAAACCTTTCCCACTGTGCAGAAAAACGCAGAAAAGCCCACATTAATCGTGGAAATAGCAACATAAACATAATACTGAAACAGTAAAAACGGCAACTTTAAATCGCTAACACTGCATCATAAAACGGGGAGCCCGCAACTTCGATTTTGCGCATGTGCACATGCAAGAGGAAGTCTCGACCGCATGTTGACATTTTCCAGCTTGGACAAAAGTTACATTCCTTTTAAAGTACTTCTGTTGTGTTATTTGGCATTTATCATCATGATATTTGTGTGCACACTTGTTTAGTTTACTTTCCCTTCGTATGGAACGATTGACAGCAATTATTTCGACATATTTAATATTTTTTCCACGCCAGGCTATTCACGGTTGCTCGGAAATTGGAAAGAAGCCCGGATCGTAATGCGCATGGTTCGTTGATATATTAATGTTGCAGTTTCATAGTTTTTCGTTGCCGTTTTTACTGTTTCAGTAGCGAGGTAATGTGTTTATGTTGCTATTTCCACGATTAATGTGGGCTTTTCTGCGTTTTTCTGCACAATGGGAAAGTTTTCTGTTGTATGCCTGGATGGGTTAAGAGTCTTCTTGTAGGTCACGGAAAGAGGCGAGTAGTTAAGGATGCGTTGTTTGGAATCGAACCCGCGACTTCGGCGTGACGAGCGAACGCTTTAACAACTAGGTTACCTCGCCGCCCCAACATTCACAGAAGAAATCTTTTGTTGTCATCTTTTCCCCTATTCTCCGATGTGTACATGCTCTCAGTAACATTCTGCTGCACTTTCATTACCACAGATGTCCTTATCTGAATGTGATATTCTATTATCTCGAAACGAAATCAAATTAAGGCAGACATATTGCCTGAGCATCAACGAATGCCCGTGTGATGTGCAAGCTTCTTGGCTGACAATGAGAAGAATCAATTACCAGCGTGATCGGTGAAGTCCACACTGGACTGTGCGTCGGTCGATATGAACCAGCTTCACGTGTTAAATAATGTACATGTTTGTGTGTTCATTAGAGCAGAGGGAATCATGGTCAGAGATGGCATCACGTACGGCGGTATGGCGGGGCTCGTCCGTATACATGGAAGAATGACTTCTGAATGTTGGTGGTATAAGGGCGAGGTTAATGAGTGGGAGCGTAATGGTTGAGTAGGTATGTGATGGGTCGATATATGTGGGTGAAACAGGTGAATGGGTGAGATATAGCGAGCGGGTGTAATTGACAGTTAGGACTGTAGCTGATGAATTGGGGAGAAGTGGATGAGGAGGGCTGTAGCTGGCGTGTACTGGCGTAGTAGGTGAGGAGCTAGGGCTGTAGTGGTGAGTAGGGATGTAGCGGTTGGATTAGTCTGTCTCACAGTCCCTGAACCACATTATTTTCCCTACAGCCTAGCCTTCCCTGTAGTGCTAATGCCCTAAACGAAGCAAGTCTAGATTTCCCCAGGTTCTGAATCTCTGGTCTCTCTAGGGCTCCTTTTCAATTTAAATGGGCTTGTTTGTTACTATCAAAGTTATATATATTCAGAGACTAAGCCTTAGTCTACGGTTGGATATACGGGTAGTGGATGAGGAGGACTGAAGTGGTTGATTAGGTGAAGTGGATGAGGAGGGCTGAAGTGAGTGAGTAGGGGCGTAGCGGATGAGGAGGGCTGAAGTGGGTGAGTAGAGGCGTAGCGGATGAGGGGGGGCTGAAGTGGTTTGAGTAAGGGTGAAGTGGATGAGGAGGGCTGCGTTGGGTGATTAGGGTGTAGTATATAAGTGGGCGCGTAGCGGATGAGGAGGGCTGAAGTGGGTGAGCAGGGGCGTAGTGGATGAGTGAGTGAGTAAGTTTAGATTTACGCCGCACTCAGCAATATTCCAGCTATATGGCGGCGGTCTGTAAATAATCGAGTCTGGACGAGACAATCCAGTGATCAACAGCATGAGCATCGATCTGCTCAACTGGGAACCGATGACATGGTCAACCAAGCCAGCGAGCCTGACCACCCGATCCCGTTAGTCGCCTCTTACGACAAGCATAATCGCCTGTAATAGCATTATACTGGAGGGCTTACAGTACAAAATAATCAATCTTGTATGGATATACAATATACAGTGTACAGAACACTGGAATAAAAAACATCACAACTTGAACTAAATTAAGATTGTGATTGAAAAATATATAATGACACACGCAGATTTTAATGGCCTACCACCCTAGCAATATTCAATCAACATATTTTACAAGTTTCCTTCACACGGGAATGTGCAATAATATAATGGCTTACCAGGCCAGCTGAATACAACCTACAGCTTTACATATATAT